GTCCTCTCCCTCTCTTTCGGCTCCTCCTCCCTTTCTTACTGCCCCTCCTCCTCTTCCTGCTTCGCCTCCTTCTCCTCCTCCTGTCTCCAGTCTCCTTCTTCTCCTAGCCTCCTTGTCGTTTTCCCCACTCCGGTTCCTCCTCTGCTTTCTCCTCGTCGTCCTCCTCCTCCTCCTCCTCCTCTTTATCTCCTCCTCATCCTTCTCCTCTTCCTCCTCGTTCCCCCTCCCCGCCTCCTTTTCTGTTGCTCCTCATCCTCCTCCTTTTCTCGCCTTTCGTCCTCCTCCTCCTCCTCATCCTCCTCCTCCTCCTCTCCCCCTCCTCCTTTTCCTTTCCTCCTCCTCCTACCTCCTCCTCCAAACCCTCTCAAACCCTCCCCCTCTTCCCTCCTTCTCCTCCTCCTCCTCCTCCTTCCTCCCTCCTCCTCCTCTCCGCCTCTCCTCCTCCTCCTCCTCCTCCTCCGCCCTCCTCCTCCTCCTCCTCCTCCTCCTCGTCCCTCCCGGGGGAGGTCGTGCTGCAGGGGCCTAGCGGCCTGGTCTGCCAATGGGCGGCCTCTCTGCGGGATGGCGCGAACTACGCCCGCGTCGAGGTCCCTTGCGTCGACGACGACGACGACGCCGACGCCGACGACGACGACGGCGACGAGGACGACGGCGACGACGACGACGCCGCCGCCGCCGCCGGGCACCGTCGCTGACGTCGTCGTCTCGTCGTCGTCGTCGAGTTCGTCGTTGTTGGAGGTCGACGAGATTGTCGTCGTCCACCGTCCTCCTCCGTGGCGCCCTCGTCGTTCGCTGCTGTCCGCGAGGATGATGAAGTTGTTGCAGGAGGATGAGGAGGAAGAGGAGGAGGAGGAGGAGGAGGAGGAGGAGGAGGAGGAGCAAGCCAGCTACAGGTCAAGGTGACATGTGATAACAAGTTATGACGATCGTGACTCCATCACGGGCCCCGCGCTTCCAGCTGCTGCACGCAAACAGGGGCCACACGTCTGCGCGGGCGGCCAGGCACCCCCCAGCGGGCCGCCAGCAGCTGCGCTGCCACTCCCCGCATGAGCGCTGCGTCGAGCTGCGCCCGCCAGCGGCGCAAGGCGTTGCCAGGCAGCTGGTCCCTCCGGTGGGCACACTTGCATGCGCTGCCGCGCAGTGCTCCAGCAGGACCTCCGCGCGCGCTCCGAGGCGGCCGGAAGGTCTCGTGCGCGGCTGGCCAGACCGCCCTGCCGCGGGCTGGGGGGTAGCGGTCATCCTTCTCGCCTCCGGCCGCGCGCGCCGCGCATCCCGGCTTCCGCGCAGCCCTCAGCTGGTAGGCGACCGACGTGGGATGCCGGACCGCGACGTCGACCAGGCAGTCTGGCAATGCAGCGACGCCATAGGCCCAAACATCCAGCTATGCCTCCGCGCGGCTCGTGGGCAATTCCGGGGCAAACAGTTCGCGGCGGACGTGCCCGCCGGCCTCCGCGAGGATGTCCGCGCAGACCTCGGCAGGGTCGTCGTGCCGGCGGGTCCGGAACGGCCCGCATTCGCACATGGCCGCATGGTCGCTGTGCGCGCCCAGCTGGTCGAGGCACTGCTCCTGCGTGGACGCCTTCTCGATGAGGCACTGCGCGCCTGGCGGGCACGGCGTGGGAATGCCCAAGCGGAAGCGCACGGCCTCGACCCACTCCCTGTCTGCGAGGGCGACGCCAGGGACAGAGAGGTCGGCTGCGAGCGCCGCGCCCGCCCTCGGCCCTGCCGCGCTGAGGAGGCGCGTCCGGAGTCCCGCGTCGCAGCCCTCGCGGGCAAGTCCGCGCAGCGCGCCGCGGCCGAGTGCTGCAAGCACCTGCCGAGTGGGTGCTGCTCGGGGGCCTCCGGGCGGAGCGGGTCACTCGCGCACTCTTGCCGGATGCGAGGCAGGGCGGCGGCACCCGGCCGAGGCGGCGATGCCGCGCTCCCGCACGCACTGAGACGGCATCGTCGACGCCGTCGTGCTGCTTGGACGTCACGGGCGACCGCAGCCGCCTCACCGCCGGCGCCGGCCCAAGACGCCACCTCTGCGCGGAGTGCGGGGACATGCTCGACGAGCCGCGCCGCCCGGGCCAGCGGGACGATGCGCGAGGGCATGTCAACCTGCAGGCCAGCGAACCGGACTGGGAGGCCAATCTGCTGGAGCTTCGCCTCGGTGAGCTGCTCTGGGCGCACGTCGATCGACGCCGCGACGACGCCCACGACGCTCTGGTCCAGGACGCGGGCGTGGGGAAGCAGCGCGCTGCACGGTACGTCTCCCGCATCATAGTCGAGCGCATGGGCGACGATGCCACGGCATAAGGCGAAGGTGGCCTGGTTGGCACCAGCCGGGGGTGCTAACTGCATCATCTCAAGCGCGGCGTCGGCGAGGCGGAACGCTCGGTCCAGGCGCTGCCGCGTCTGCTCTGGAACGCTGGCGGCGTAGAGCGGCATGGCCTGGTCGCCGCGCGCCTCCGTGCCGAGCAGGAAATGCGCGCCGCCGAGGGCCCGTGCGTCTCTTGGGAGTGCCTCCAGCGGTGTGCCGGCCAGCCTGGGCACGTGGAACGCACATTTCGCAAGCTGCAGCGGGAGGTTGCGGGCCGCCGCAGCCGCTTCCACAGTGTCGAGAAGCTGCACCGCGATCGCCAGTGGCACTTTGGAGCAGCCAATCGTCGACGTACAACCACTGGCGAATCTCAAGCCGCCTGTGCTGCAAGCCGGGGTCATTGACGACGACGTGCCACACCACGGCAATGACCATGCAGAAGGCGGATTGACCCTCCTGGTTCCCCTGGATGAGGCTGCCGTAGATGAAGAAGGAATGCCAGCCCATCCCATCAGCGTCCAAGAGGAACACCTCGACCCCGAGGTCCCACCAGAGATGCCATGGGGACGGCCACCATGGGCGCCTTGGCAACGGCTGCTTTGAGGGCATCGGCCCAGCGCACCTGGTTGAAAGCGTTCTTGATGTCGAGGCCGATGAGCGCATGTTGCGGAAATGCCCGCGCGGCTGCCCTGACTTCCGCGACCTCCAGCTGCGCACCGGCACAACTTCCGGCTCCGTACTGGCGCTCCCCGACCGCGTCCGCGACCTGCATGCCAGCCCCCAGCAGGCACGTCCCCATTGCAAACCTGAGCATGGCCTCGCCTTGCAGGAGGAGGAGGAGGAGGCGGAGGAGGAGGCGGAGGAAGAGGAGGAGGAGGAGGAGGCGGAGGAGGAGAAGGAGAAGGAGGAAGAGGAGGACTCGGAGGTCGATGAGCGTAGGAATGTAGCAGACTTTTCTGAGCATCCCCACGTCCATCAACGAGATAGTAAAAGTTTGAAGAATCGTGGAAGGCTGACATCTACCCTTTATCGTACACCAGCTGGCTGGAAACATCCTTACTCTAGGAGCAGTGGGGAGATGACTCCAGCAGGGTGAGGGGAGATGACCCGGAGGATGAGGGTTGCGAGTGGGGGGAATGGGATGAGTCGTGGAGGATGTACGAGGAAGCTGGACACACATGGCGTTGCCAGCCTGGGCGATAGCTGAATGCACACGTGGCACCATATCTTTCCGGCCCTCGGCCCTGCCACAGCCAGGGGACGTCGTCCATCCGCGTTTGTGCATCCGGCGTGCGGCCTGCGTACGCTGCACGCGTGAATCCGGCCATGCGTGATTCCAGCTTCCTGGTGCAGGAGGGGGAGGAGCAGCAGGCGGAGGAGGGGGAGGAGCAGGAGGGGGAGCGACGAGGAGGAGAGGCGACGAGGAGTGCGACCGGGAGAGAGGGCCTCGCGGCGAGCCCCGCCCCGGAGGGAGGTCCGCGTGGTGGCTGGGGCGGAGGCCGTGGACTTGTGGGAGCTCGAGCTGCTGGCTGGCTGGGGGGGAGGTCACCTCCTCCCGCGTGCCTCCCTCTCCTCCACCTTTTCCTCCTCCTTTTCCTCCTCCTCCTCCTCCTCTTCCTTCCGTTGCCATTTTGGCTCAAGTGCCATCAGCGGCAGCGCGCGTCTGCGGGCACCTGGGCGGGCAGCCTCTCTTGAAGGGGCATTCTTGGGGTCAAGCCCAAGCGGACACCTTTTCTTTCTTCCAGGGGTTCTCCCTCCTGGCACTGCTGCCATGGAGGATTCTGCAGTCGTCGCCCAGCTGACTGCGGTGATTCAGAACACGGTGAAGGGCTTGCAGACTCAGCTCGAGGCTCGGTTCTTGTCTGTGGAGACGAACGTGACCACCCTCACCCAGCACATGGGGAATGCCGAGGCCCACATCACCGCCATCAACAATCATATGACGGAGGTCATGAAGATGCAGTGTCGACAAGAAGAAGAGCTGCGACAACTTCGAGCACGACCCGTGTCTTCGACTGCTTCCACATCCTCGGGGGGGCAGCAGTCCTGGGCGTCGAGGCTGGTCAATGACGAAGGCAACAAACGACGTCGGGGAGAAGATGACACTGGTGGCGATCCAACGACTAAATTTATTGGTCGCTTCCCTCGCCCAGTCCTCGAACGAGTGCGCAGGAGTCACTTTGACAGCCTGAAGGCGCAGTACCCTGACCTCCTGGCCAACGTGGAGGCCAAGTTCTTCGCCATAGCCCAGAGCTACTCTATCATCTTCCAGAACAAGAATGACGCCAGCCAGTTCCAGAGGGAAGCCAATCGTGCTTGTGTAGTGTGGACTGATCCGAGGTCTCAGCTCCCACACCAGCTTCGAGTGCGCGCTGACCTTCCCCAGCCTGTTCGCAAGAAGAAGCGTGCATTTCACAAACTTTGGCTCCCAGTTCGAGACCTATTGCAGCAATCGTACATGTGGTCGCCAGATTGTCAGCTCGGCATTGACGGCTTCCGCGGAGTGATGAGGGTGAAGAATGACCTAGACGTGTGGAACCTGATTGAGATCAAGCAGGTCAGCATTCGCAATGGTGAGGAGCAGTTCACATTCGAACCCAATTTCGAGGAGCTCGAGGAGTGGGGCATCACCAGGGGGACGATCATGGCCCTGATTGAGTCCCAGGCGCCAGCTGTCTCTGACAGTGCCCCTGATATGGAATACTGACGCGCTCCCTCACAGCCAACTAGTATGTCTCAGCGTGCGGTGCCTTTGTACAGCTCTTCCTCTTCCTCCTCCTCAAACTCTACATCTGATTCAAGTACCTCGTCTGACTCTGACTCCTATTCCGAGACCAGCTCCAGCGTGAGTGCCGAGGCCGAGCGTGGTTGCTCTCCGTATGTCCCGAATCAGAAGTTCTCGATTGTGACGTGGAACGCACACACTGTATTTGGACCCGTGTGGGGTAGTCATGATATGCAAGTGCGCAAATATAAGTGCGTGGGTGATCTTATGAGTGCGCACGACACTGTATGCATGCAGGAGACGCACGGCACGCCCAGTGACGTCACATCGCTCGAACGTGATTTTAAGGAGCACCTCCACTTTGGCAGCTTCTGTCCAGACCAGCCTGGCGCTGGAGGTGTTGTCACCAGTGTGCGCAAGAGTCTTCGAGAGCAGTTCGAGAATGTAGCCTTCTCCGAGGTCGCGAAGGGGAGAATCACGTCCTTGGGATTGTATGGGCCGCAAGCTTCACTCCAGATTATCAATGTTCATTTTGTTCCTGGGCTCCCTCGCGGTGTTCTTCTGGATCAGTTTCGGAGAGTGAAGCGTGCGATGTGGTCATCAGTGACCACCGCTATCTTTCTTCTCGGCGATTTCAATTTTCTCGAAGCAGGCGACACCAGGTACTCGATTCTGGAGGACATGGAGCGATATGCACCGCCTCGCTTTGCGCTGGAGTTTCGGAAGTGCTCCCCTTCCTTGCTCGAGGTCGCCCCGGCCACCTTCACCCACCGCGTGAAGACAGATGAAGTTGTTTTCGCTGGCGCGCATAGACAGGATATACACTAGTTTACCTACCGCAGATGTACTTGACTTGGCCCCTGAAAGTTCCACGTGTTGGCCTCCTACGGACCTCGAGAAGCCCTCAGATCATGCCCCTCTTTATCTTAAGCTACGTCGTCCTGATCATAGATCCCGCTCGAACAATATCCCACCTTGGATAGCAATGCGCCCGCGGTTTTACGCACATCTCTCTGCTCTTCTTCATCCTTCTGACCTCTCTGCTGACCCGAATGAACGTCTTCAGGAAATAAAACAACTCATGAGACATGCTGCTGTTCAAGTTAGATTAGACGTGCTCTCGGATGGTGCTACCACCGACGAAGAGCGCTTGGCATGTGCGCTGAAGCTATTGCGAGTTGCCCGCTCTCTTCCACCCCAAGCCTGCCCTGAGTCGTGTCCTGCTCTCCTTCGGCACCTCCTCGGTAAAGCTAAATCTGTACTTCGTGCTCATCCTGAACTATCGCAGTATTATTGTATCGCCCGGGGAGAATTGACAGACAGGATTGGGCTCTGTTCGCAAGTCAGTGAACTGACGCGCCGTGTGCTTGCTGCTGAGGAGCGCGGAGTCGCTGCTCGTGAATTAGCGCCATCTAAGAAAGACCAGCATATTGCACGTATTCGCAGGCTTTCTCGTGCTTGGGCTAAGAATAAGCCGAAGATCTTCCCCGCCGCTGTTTTTGACGACGACGGGTCCGAGCTTGGCGAGGATTCTGCCATGGGTCAGAAGCTGTCTGAGTATTGGGGTGAGGTTTTCTCTCGGATCCCATGTGATCTCCAGGGTGCCCCCAGGCTTCTGGACCTCATCCCGACCCTCCCCGACGACCCCTGCCAGTTCACCAACTCCACCCACCAGCGGTTCCCCTGGGTCCTGACCGAGGATCAATTTTTCGGCCTCCTCAAAAGCAAGGTCGACTCCAGTCCAGGACCTGATGGCATTCCGTACAGCGCTTGGCAGTGCCCGCGCCCGTTTCTCAAGCAGGCTCTCTGGGGGCGCTATCTCGCCTTCATGAACGCCCAAGTCCTTGCAAGCGATTTCAACTACTCGAAATTGGCATTCTTACCGAAAGCCGTGTGTTTACCTGGAGCAGTGGCCAAGGCGCGTGGAGACACGCGACCGCTTGTCTTGAGCAACACCCTGCATAGCATATCCTCTCATGCAAGTGGCCGAGGATAAACTGCACTATGTTCAACGTGGTTTTATTTCGGGTCGGTCCCTCGCTGACAATATAATCGAGTTCGACGGTCGATTGATGATGTGGCAAGCATTGGAGAATTCGCAGGCTGCTGGTGGCGCCCTCTTTGACACGAAGAGCGCTTTCCCATCGGTGCACCACTTCTGGCTCTTTCCAGTACTGCAGCGCTGGCGCTTCCCGCCCGCAGTTCCTCATTAACTGTATAAGGCCTCTTTACGAGCGAGTGTGGTGTAGCATTTCGATTCGCGGTTCTGACGTCGGAGGCTTTTGTGCCTCTCGAGGAGTTAAGCAAGTCGGTCCTCTTAGTGGACTATTATTCGCGTTCGCCTTCGACCCCATTCTTCGAGGCATTGCTGAATTCGGATCTTTGCTTTCGGTGTATCCTACTGCGTTCGCCGATGATCTTGCCGTTGCAGCTGCTGATCTAGTCCGGGCGCTCCCTCGCGTCGTGGAAATCTTAATGGCAGCAACGCCGTGCTCTGGTCTCGCACTCAACTTTCCGAAGTGCGTGATCGTGATTCCGCGGCCTTTTGACCCGCCGCAGATCATCGCGCAGTGCTTGCAAGCTGGTCTTGATATTTCGGGGTGGGAGCTAAATCAATCTGGGATGTACATTGGGGTGGAGGTGGGCTTGCATGCACCGAAGACTGCGTGGCCCCGTGTTGGACAACAGCTTCGTGCGCGGGGTGCCGACGTTAAAGCGCTGGGCACTGGTCTCACGGCTGCTTGTTCTGCGTACAACATATTTGCTGGATCTGTTTGCTCACGCGTAGCCCAATTTCATATTGTCACGGGTGAAGCTTTGAGCCAAGAGCGAGAAGCACAGCAACTTCTTACTTGGGCTCCAAGGCGCAGTATCCCCCCAAGGTCCTCTTACAGGCCACCCGTCTTGGTGCGAAAACAGAGTGCCACTCCTTAGCGATCTCGGCCAAAGCTGCTATGATTCGTGCTGCTTCTCACCCAGACATGTTCCACAAACTGGTGAGTGACTGGAACACCAAAGTTGATGATGACGACTATTGTTTAACCTACAAGTGGTCCCGCGCGCTCTCCGACTCCATCTTTTTCCAGATGTATAGGACGCTTGAGGAGCACGAGGCCAAGTTCGGGGCCGTCGATATCTCCCACGGGGAAACCACCCAGAAGAAAGTCACCCTGGATCTAAAATCGTATATGGTGGATTTTACTGTGGGTGAAGTTCTGTCTCCTAGGATCTTGAAGATGCACCCAGAGGCCTCCAGGAATGACATCGACTTGTGCGTTATTCGTCTGGGATGTATCGGTGACAAGTTGCCGCCCTTTATACACACATCTGTATTGAAAACGGTCTGCAATGCATGGAACACTACACGTCGTTATCGGCAAAAAGTTGGTCCGTGTGTTTTCGGGTGCATGAATCTCGGTGCCCACTGTCTTGACCACTATGTACGTTGCCCTGTGATCGTTGAGTATGTACGTTCCCTCCTTCGATATCTACCCGCGAGCTGGGGCAATGATTGGTTGCAGGTAGCCTTCCCCCACCTCTGGCAGGCACGCACGTCTGATAGTCTCATGTCGCACGCAGTTGCTCTAGATTGTATTCATTCTGCATTTTGTGTTTGTCGCACCCGTCGCCCGTCGTCATCTTTCGCCCGCGGCGCCATTCTTGCCCGGCTTCGTGCTAGCGCACGTCGGTCTCGGCAGGTGCGGGCCTTAGCCACTGGGCCGAATGGGTAGGGATCGGGTGTCACCCAGGGGTGCGCCTCCTCCTCCTCTTCCTCTTCCTCCTCAGCCTCCTCCCTGCTCCGTCGCCTCCACCTCCTCCTGCCCTTCCCCTCTTCCCCTTCCACAGTTAATGCGAAGCACGAACGCTACTCTCCTCTCTCCCCCGACGCCGTCCTGAGAGTAGCCGCCCCCCCCTCCGCGTATGTTCTTATTTTCTACACGCACATGATGTGGTCGAGTTGGGTATGCCTTATGTGTTTTTGCAATCCGATCGGTTTCGTTCCTTTCACAATAGCGCTCGCTGCAGTTTTATATTCACTTTAGGACCAGCGCTTTGCTCCCGTCGTTCAGAATGGCGCTGTCACCCCAGCGCTGTCACCCTTCCCTTCCTCTTCCTCCTTCTCCTCCTCCTCCTCCTCCTCCTCCTCGTGCTCGTGCTCCTCTTATTCCTCGTTGCCCTCCCCCTTGAAAACATAGGAACTGAAAACGGGGCTTCTTTTGGAAACCATCCGTTGCGCATGGATTTTTGTTTCCAGACCGACACGGCATGTCATTGGCGTTGGGATGACGCGCGCATCCCGACAGGTCCACCGTGCTGACGGCTCCTCGCATCCGCCCCAGTGTGACTTTTGGCATCGCTCGGACGTGTGCATTTTTCTTTCGGCGGGGAGCATCGAGGAGCATCCTTGACCATTTGGAGAAAAAAATCACGCACGCAATTAAAAAAAGGAGTGGACGTCCGAGCGATGGCGAGGACTCGACCCTGCAAACAGCAGCGCAACCCGATCGCGCAAGGGAGGGAGGAGGGAGGCGGGTGGGCGCGTGCAGCCCCTCCCTCTCTCCTCCTCTTCCTCTGCCTCTTCGTCCTCCTCCTCTTCCTCCTCCTCTTCCTCCTCCTCGTCTTCCTCTTCCTCCTCCTCTTCCTCCTCCTCCTCTTCCTCTGCCTCTGCCCCATTCGTCTTCCTCCACCCCTTCTCCCTGCCTCACGCTCCCCCTGCCTCCCTGCCTCCTCTGCCTCCTCTGCCTGGGCAAGCCCACCGCGAGATCTTCGGAATTCCGACGCGATGTCCTCATATGAAGGGCTACGACCCTTCGAGAGGTCACGGTGGAGAGAGCGTGTCGTTCCGCCGGCGTGTCGGGATGTGATGCCCCGGGAGAAGCGCAAAGTTGCTGTTAGAAACCGCTAGGGAACGTACACTTCGGTCGTTGAAAGTGGGCATATCTTGGATCCCCAGGTCCCAATCTACTTCAGCCGCCTTCCTACTTCAAGTGTCTAGGGTTTTTCCTCTTCCCTCATTTTCAGGGGGCGGGAGGAAGCCCAATCTACTTCCAACGCCTGCCTACCTCATGCTTCTACCCACTTCTTCCGGCCGACTGGTACCCAACCCATTTGCAACATGCTGTGATATCAACGGGCCCATCCAAGGCCAATACGCATTTCAAAGGCCATGCGGTCCTCTGCAGAATTCGTTGCATGCGCAGTGTGGCCTGTACGAGGCGAAACCCAGGAGAGGAAGTACAGGAGCAAGGCGCATTGGCGACCACGACTAAGAGCTGGAAGAGACGCAGCGTTAATATAGAAGCGGGACGGCAACATGGACAATGACGAGCACGAGCACAAGAAGGGGACAGAGGACGGCGTGCCGAGCGAAGATGAATCTCGTGTGTTCGGCGACTACGAAGGGCTTCCTGTCATATCGCGCATGCAGTAGCGACCTTAGGTTGCAGCTCCTTGCCATATTCTTGGTCTCAGCCCAGCTGGTGAGCACGGGCACAGGAAGTTCACAGCCGCACGCGCGCACCCCGTCTGAACGCCAGAAACGCAAAGAGGCACCCGAGCGCGCTGGCAAGCGCGCTGTCGGCTCATTCGCTGAGTCGTGCAGGACCCTTTTCGGGCCGAGCTGGCCGGCCAGCTCCTCGGCCTCTCTCATGCACTTCCCTCTTGTGCGGGCGTTGAGAGTTCGCAGGCGCGCCGCCAGGTCCGCGGCCGGCCTTCGGGAGAGAAGATTCAGCCCCAGGGTCGCGCATCACACGCAAGTCGTCCGACGTCGTGGG